CAGAGTCACAGACATTGGGCTACTATATATATGATGATTATTATGTATTTATTATTGTTGGATTTCCTCCACAGCTGACTTGAAATCCCTCCCATGCTTTACCTTCTCCTCTCTGCCAAAAGCCTGCCTGTGTAATACCATTTGCAGCTGTGGACTTTTCATATTTGCAAGCCAATCAAGGCTATGGGGAACTGATGTCATCACAGCAGGACTAAGAGTGTGATGTCATCATGACAACAGTTAGCCTTAAGTGCTGGCAAGACAGGCCAGATTGACATCTCTGAAGAATGGAGTTTTCCTTTTACCCACAGGGCAGATACAGCACGGTTGGCAAAAAGGCAAGCCCTGCTGCTAGCCCTCAGTCACTGACCTAGATGAGCAGGCACAAGCCCGCCTGCATATAAATGCCCCTCCTTCAACCTTGTGGATGGAGTTACTGCACCCAGGACCCAGTATGGGGGACAACTAAGGAACAACAGAGCTGGGAGTGGAGGTCATGAAAACTAGGGATCCAGAGGGGGAGACCAACCAGAGAACCCTAGACAGCAGCAACACAGCAGCAAGTGCCTCAAAGCTGTCTAGGATGCCAGCAGATGCCTCCCAGAGGAAGGAACAAGAGAGGAACGGAAATAGGCTCCACAGTCACAGAGCTCCTCCCTGCCCCTCCTCCTCCTCCTGGTGTTGTAGATGGCCACGTTAGCCAGTGGCAGGAGAAGGTTGATGAGGAGGCCTCGCAACTTCATGAGGCCACAGACAGGGTGTTGCATGTATGAAAAGGTGTGGGAGGAAGTGCAGTGAGACCCGCAACAGGAATTCTAGAGGAGCTGGAATAGGGTCTGCAACCTGGCGCATTCCAGATAGGCATATGTCGGGGTCTCCCTCACACCGCAAAATGGGCAGGTGTCAAGGATTGAGGTAAACCATGGCAGCCATCATTCAATATCCACAGCTCCCTCTGCAGCTGGCAGAAACTCCCACCACTTGGTATCGGGGCAGGACATGAGGAAGTGAAGCGTGTGGAGGACTAGCGTGTAAAGTTATTCCCTAGGCATGGATTGGAAGCAAAATTACTTGGGTTGAGAAAAGGAAGGGGCTGGGAAGGGAGAACTTGTGGGACTGGTGCCTGATGAAGAAGTCCAGAGAGCTGAGGGTGAGGGGTGTGTGATGCACATCCTTTTATAGGTCCCACTCCAGGAAAACCTGAGAGGTGGATAAGGCTGCTCCCACCTCCTTGTGAATGCATGGGGGTTGGGGAGAAGTCTGAAGGGTGAAGAACCTCATGCATCTTCTGAGTGCCCAGGGATCCACCCTGCTCCCAAGGCCATAGTCCAGGGGCTCTCTGGGGAGTGAGAGAGGAGATCAGTCTTCATGGCCCATTCAGCCCTTGGCTAGGACAGCTGACAAGGGAGACAATTAATGTAAATACATTAGTGTGGGTCACATATTGTATATAACTGGTTAATAGGGCTGGACAAATATTGGACAAACACATCGCATATGCTACCTTATGTGTGTGTGGTGCAGCGTATTAGAGGGTGCCTGGGTGGTAACAGCCGAGTGGAATAGTGTGAAAGGGGCTCAGTACAGGTTGAACCTCTAAAATCTAGGACTCTGTGGTCCAGCAACATCCATGGTCTGGCAGGACCACGAATATTGTTGGACCAGAGAGTCCTGGCAAGCCAGGTTCAGCACAGCCCTGACTGGCCTAGTAGTGGGGAGCTCCGCCCCAGTGGAGCCAGCACAGTGGAGAACACAGGCCTGGTCAGGGCTGATGGCAAGGAGCACAGCCCCAGCCAGGGCTGGATGTAGTGGGGCCGGCGGCCAGGAGCGCAGTCATGGCTTGGGCTGGTGCAGTGGGAAGCACAGCCTCAGTCGGGGCTGGTGCAGTGCAGGAGGTATTTCTAGCTGGGGGTGGATTCAGGTGGGTGCACAGCCTGGACCGGCATCGTGGGGGTGGAGGCGCAACCCCGGCCGGGTCTGGAGGCAGTGGCCTGTGTGGGGCTGGTGTGGTGGGGGCATGTACCCCAGGCCAGGCATGGCATGGTGGAGGGCTGGAGGCAGCAGCTGGCAGCCCCACCCGAAAACAGAGCCTACAGCTGGGTAGGGAGCCTTGATCGCTCCTCGTCCAGCACACTCCATTGTTAAGGATGATTCAGGTCCTGAGGGTGCCGGACAAGGGAGGTCCGACCTGTACTGCACTCAGGGCCTGTGTAATATGGGGGTAAGGGGACAGAAGTGGGGTGCACATTAATCGCACTTTCCTCTTCATGTGTCTCTTTTATCCAAGAGTTGATGATTCCATCACTTTCTCTGATGAATGGAGGAGCAGCTGGATGCTAGGGGCTAGATCCTTAACTATGTTGTGGTTATGTTCATTGCAGCTGGCCTTAAGCCACCCTTCTATTCCCCTGATACTGGGGCCGTGCGGGAGTTGGTGGGTTCCTAGTCTTGACACAGCCAGGAGTGGTCACACCCAGAGACATCTCCATCACAAAGGATGGCTGGAACACTGTGTGGTGCCGTTGAGCTTTTCTGTCCCTAGTGTGCCTGCGTGTGGATAAGATGGCTTGATGCCACCTGAGGTTTCTCCCGGGCTGTTTGAGGAAGCTTCAAAACCTCTTTGTGCCCAATGGGAGATATGAGTAGGGCTGAGAGGTATGACCCTAAGTATCTCGTAACACATCTACACGGGCAGCTTTGCTAATGCTCACACTTGTTTGACACTCTAAGCAGCTGGCATCACATGTTGACCAGACTCATAGACTCCATGATCCTGTTGACACCATGTCACCTGGCAGGCTGGTCTTACTACTGAAACTTTGCAGTGCTGTAGCCTCTCTCACACACACGCACGCACGCAAGCAAGCCCCACCACGTTCATGTTCAGGGCTAGAGGTGTTTAAGTCTCGGCTTGACAAAGCCCTGGCCGGGTTGATTTAGTTGGAATTGGTCCTGCCTAGAGCAGGGGGCTGGACTTGATGACCTTCTGAGGTCTCGTCCAGTTCTATGATTCTAGGGCTTAGTGCAGTCAGGCCTAACCTTATTCTCACAATGCTCACACTCACATTCTTGTGAGTGGGGTCACCCCAGAGTGTGGGTGCAGTCTGTTCCGACGCCCACTTGTGCATGTTGGTATCCCTACGTTCACCCCCACACGCTGGTGTGGGCGTCGTTTGTCTCCGTACTCTCACACACTTTGATGTGGGTGCAGTTACTTCCCTCACTCCCTCTGGCCTGGTTCACAGCTAAAACTTAGGGAGGCAAGGTGGATGAGGCAATATATTTTATAGGACCAAGTGCTTATGGTGAGAGACACGAGCTATGTGTGCTTGGAAAGCTTGTTTCTCTCCCCAGCAGTAGTTGGTCCAGTAAAAGATATTACTCAACACCTATTATCCTGGGACCAGCATGGCTGTCAAACTTAGGTCAGCTTAACTGCATCACTTAGAGCTGTGAAAATTTTCATGTCTGGGGCAATATAGTTAGCTTGACCTAACTCCCATGTGCAGTTGCAGGGTTTCTAGTGTGGTATGCTCTGACACACTGATGTTGCATGGGCAGTCCTCACACTTATCCTCACACATTGATGTGTGCAGGGCGACTCCTCATCCGCTCACTGATATGGATAATAGTAATGTGCTCATCCCTGGGCTCACTGGCACATAGTCACATAGGCGCGGTCACTTCCCACGCTCACTCTCACACATGCATGTGGGTGCAATCAAGTCCGCAAGCTCATTCTCATGCAGTGATGTGTATTTCTGTTGACCTCGCTGGGGTTTGGGTTGCCACACGTAGCTCTCATAGGTGTGGACTTTTCACACCTCTGAATTCTTTCACTAAGTCGACCTAAGCTTTTAAGTGTAGCCCAGGCCCTGATGTTTGAAGACACGTGATGATAGTGTAGAGACCACTGCATTATTAGCTTCCTACTGCTCTTGGACAGCTCTTTTCATAACTATTGGACTGGAATATTAATAGAAAAGTATCCCTTTGTCAATATGCAGTTGAGCTATTACCTACTCAAGTGCTGGTAAATTATCAACAGAAGTTCAGTAAGTATCACAGAGTGAAAGGAGCCATTAAAGGGTAAAGTCTACCCTGGTGCTTGAGACCAGCATGAGGCCTGTATGCCAGTGTATTTGTTCCTAAAACTTCAAAATGGGGATTGCAGGATGAGTGGTGTATGTGGCCCTCTGCTCACAGGGAATTAATAGAGATACCAATTATCTGGTAGCGTTGGATGAATTATCATTATTTATTTAATGTTCTTTTCTCTGAACCTGGCTCTGAAAGCAGATACAGATGAGATTGGGGGCAAGTGAGAGTGATTGTTTTAAATTTTCTGATTTTTTTTCTGTGAAATGATTCAAAATTAAAACAAATCAGTTTGAATCAAACTGAATCTAAACAAAGAAAAAGTGTTTCTTCTCCATTGAAAACCAAAATAAATAAGTAAGCCCTAGAAAAAAGGGGCTTCAAATCAAATCAAGATTATTTTTATTGGTCTTAAACCAGTTCCAAACAACCATTAATTTCAGATCATTCCATCTAATGGGGATACTTTTGGTAAAAAATGTTAAGGGAGATACAATTTATTCACTGGATATTTTCCACAGAAAAGAATGCAACATTTTTGAGCAGCCCCAGCTAGATATCACTGAAGAAAGGACCTCACAGGCCTGAATCCACCAGGTTAAAACAACTTTGTTCAGGGGGCTAGTGTGAAGATGCTAAATTGAAGGACAGGATCTGCCTTGCTATATGAAGTGACTATGCCAAATAACACATACACATGCATATAAACACAGTCTGGTAGTTTTGCCACGCTGCCGCCACATGGTCTATTGTGTGTCTGTCTATTGTGTGCTGGTCTATTGTGTGCTCTACTCACAATGCTCTTTGCCCAGATTAGTGAAAGGCGGATGAGACGCCAATAATGAAATGAGCTTTCACTGAATGTGTAAAATTCTTCATCTGACTCTTTTCCCCCCTTAAAGGTTGAAAAAAATGATGACGTTGACCAAAAGATTGAGCAAGATGGCATCAAACCAGAAGATAAAGCTCATAAGGCAGCCACCAAAATCCAGGCCAGCTTCCGTGGACACATAACAAGAAAAAAGCTCAAGGGGGAGAAGAAGGGAGATGCCCAAGTGGCCAATGCCGAGGCTGCTGAGAAGAAGGATGAGCCCCCTGTTGATGGCGTGGCAGAGAACAAAGAGAGCGATGCTCCTGCTGCCACAGAAGCTGTTCCGTCTGACAGTGCCCAGCCTGCAGAGGGCAGCAAAGATGGCAATGCTCCCTCAGAGGAGAAGCAGGGGGAAGCCACTGCTGATACTGGCTCAGAGCAGCCAGCTCCGAAGGCAGCCACTCCCTCTTCCTCCTCGGAGGAGAAGCCCACTCCCACTGCCACCGAAACGGAAAGTGCCACTAAAGCTTCCACTGATAACTCGCCGTCCTTGAAGGCTGATGAAGCCCAAGACAAAGAGGAGCCTAAACAAGCCGATGTGCCTGCTGCTGTCACCAATGCTGTCACCACCACTGCTGCAGAGGATGCTACTGCCAAGGCAACGGCACAAACGGAGACGGCAGAGAGCAGCCAAACCGAGGAGAAGACAGGTAAGTGGACATCAGGGCAGAGAGATTTCTCTAAATTGACTGTGAAATGCCCCTGGCCTCCTTGTGGTTCCCTGGAGCATCAAACATACGTTAGTAAGCGAGGAAGAAAGGTGGGTAATGCCCTATCCGGTCATGCTTGTGTTTCAGAGATGGGAGATTTTCACAACAGAAACTCCTCTGAGCTTGTGGAAATGTTACATATGGAAGCTTTATGATCTGGGCTATGGCTATAGGTTGAAGAGGGACTCCAGGGAATCTTTTAAGTGTGAAAAGAGTCTGAATCTAGATCTATGGTGAAAACAGACTGAAGAGTTTTTTTTTTTTAACCTTTTTATCTTGGGCCTGCCCAGAGAGAACCCCCTGAATTCATACCCTCAACTTTGATTCTTCAGGGCCTGATTCTCCACTATTTTTCCCTTTGTACCAGCATTTACACCTCTGCAAAGTGAGGATAAAATGCCGTCGTGGTGTGAACAACCAGAGAATCCTGATTTGGTAGAATTTTATACCCACTCTGCACTCACTTGTCACAGGTGTATCTGATAGCACCAGTCACAATGCAGCAGAGAGTCCCTTTCACTTGTTTGTTATCATCTTCTTTAATAGAGAGGATGAATATGCACCAGCACCATTGTAATGACCAGAGCTAAGTAATGTATTACAGCAGATACTGATTTGATTCATTTTACCTATTTTGTTCACCAGTTGTCAGTGAAATGTTTGCAATTATTCTTGCATCTAATCAGTATTTTAAATTATTTGTAAATTTCTTCAGTAAATATTTCTTGGCCTGTAGATCATTGGAACAGTGGACATTACAATGGAATATACAATTTGCAGTTCGTGCTCTAACACGAATAGATAGCTTAGCTAGCCACAAAGAGTGAGTTGTAAAAGTCACTATTAAATACAGACTTTTTAAAATTAGCTTCAGAATATTTGACTGTTCAAGCACAACATTTGCTTTTATTCACATTTGTTCAATAGTATTGCTAGCAAAACTCAAGCGCTTGAGTATTTTCAGAAAACAAGCACAGAAGGTTTGTGACCACGGTCAAATCAAAATTCCCTTTGGATTGCAATATTTCCTTTGGAATATTAGTAACTAAATCTCCTTTTCCACTATTAGCTTTGCTAATCACAGACGCACACATTTGGGGTATCCTCGGTTCACAGAAGTTAGAGATGGAAAAAAAGCTCCAATAAGACTTTCTGTTTCCCTGATATGGGATTGGTTGCTGCAATATCTTTTTAGGTGTGGCAGAATTCAATTTGTATGTTTTATAATTTTGATGGTGAATCATTTGTAAGTCTTCTTTCAATTTTTATTAATTAATTTTCCCACAACTGTGAACATTTATGTGTGTGGAAGGATCTGATAATTATTTAATGACAATAGATATTAAGATTCAAAAAGTTAAGGCTTTATTACCATTAAAAAACAAATGGTCAATATCACGTATCAAATTATACAAAGTAAATAGCTTTAGTATTTTCTCAATTCTGAAGCAGCATTTTTCTTTTTCTGCCTGTCATATTTTATGGTTATTGATGGAAATATTTTTTTCATCTGTTTGTGTGTACACAGTGAAATAGATTCTAATCCTTCCCAGTCTAAGAATGTTCCATACCACTTTGTCCAGTCTAGCTGCGAAGGGTTTTCACTACAATGGGGCTACTACAATTGAGCTTCCAATGTTTCAGAGATCTCACAGCTAGGAAATGTTCCTTGATATTCAGCCTTCCTTTTCCTTTTCCTACTGTGTCTTGGTACTCCCCTGTGCTCCCCCGCCCCCATCCCCCCCTCCGAAATACCACTTTGCTTTCCTTGGTGTGTATTCCCTTTCTAGACTCATAGTCGGTTACCATGTCCCTCTAGTCATCCTTTAGTTAAGCACTATCCTGCCAACTATCAGCACTGCTCTGATGGCTTAGTCATCTATGAAAGAGCAAGAACCACTAAACATCTGTCCCTTCAGTGCTCTGTCAGTCCAGGGGCCAATCCCTCCAGCTTCTCTCAAAATCTCCTCTTTCAGCTCTGTCAAAAGTTAATCTTTTATTGTTTCTATTGTGGAAGACTAGCACAGAACTATGCAGCATGAAGCTGCCAAAAATAAGTAAATCAAATTGGCTACTAGCCAGTGTTGTTGGTTGGCTCACTGCCATGGCACACTTGGCTGTTACTACTATGAAGAGTAAATGTAGGTCATTCTACATTTGTGTAGTGTTATTCTTCTGGGTAGAATTTTGTTATACTCATCATCACCTGATCTACAGACATGTTCCTGCTAGCAGTGGAGGAGGGCATTTAACTGACATCCTTGGGAGAGCTTTTGTCTCTGCATCTGAGTGAAAGAAAGAAAAAGAGAGACCAAATGAAGAAATAAATGAATTAATCAGTTAGCCAAATTGCATACCCTGTAGGGCTTAAAATGGAAACATTTCTGCAGTGGGCAGGGAGTGGGATAACTCCTCCAGAATGATATTTACTCCACTAGCAGATCCATCATCTCCCAAGAGTTCAGCTCTTGATAGTCTATTAATCTTGCCTTTTAGGTAACTGCTTTAGAAACTGGCTTTAACCAAGCAGTCCTGTATTCAGTATTAATTGGTGCCTTAGGTTCCCTGTTTTTTTAATTATAAATCACTTTCTAAATAATTCTGATGAAGGTTGCTGGGCCTTGAATCAAAGTTGGGGGTGGGGGGTCCACCCAGGATAAACCATGAATGAGACAAAGGGCCAAATTCAGAAGTCAATCTAACTTAGAATCTTA